ACCATTTAACATTTCTTCAATCTAAATCGTGAACGAACCTGATTTTTGTTCCCTTTTGGATTGTACGATTCCGTATAATGTACCAGTTTGAAAGAAGGTCATCTGGCTCCGCTCCTATCAGTACAGGACCCCTCTTCTGTTTGGCTTAAAGAACAAGAGCAATATTTATATTTCTTGGATTAAGGTCGTTATTCTTATTTTTAATGCAAAAATTTCAAATAAAGAAAGTTTTTCAGAAATTGGAAACACTGCAAATAGTGACTTAGGGGGCCAGCAAGACCGTGGAAGCCTCATCGGGCGTGGGGGGGTACGGGTATCTACGCTATCAAGAGAAAATGATGATTCTCGTTATGTTATCTATTTACTTATCCTGCGAGGAGGTGATTCCCAAATTTCTGTTGAACTGAGATCCTCAGTGCATCAAGTCCCCATAAATTGCGAAAAACATTAAAATGGCATCTTTCTTGTATCGCCCCATCAATATCCAAGTCCCTAATGATACGATCACTCTTTCATTAAAGCTACATTGTCCTTGGAATCCCATAATCCCAACGTTTGTAAATTGGCATGATTGTAACACCTATTTCAAATTTTTTATCGTTGTTATTGACTTTTTTATTACTTTTAAAAGAATTGTACTGCAAAGCCTCGGAAACTGAGTCAAATTTTTTTCGAGTATATTCAATAAATAATTCAAACTATTTTCCAAAAATTGAAGTTAAAATCCTAAAACGCGCCCGAGTTATTGGGAAAAAGGCATTTTTGTTTAAAAGTTTTATAAACCATCAACGCGTCATAATCTCCGTTAGGCGTAAATTTTCGTGGCAAACAGCTTCACCGGGAGATCATGCTTCATCTCAACTTTGTTCACATTTGCTTTTGAAAGCTGTATTTTTCCAAAGTAGACGGAGTTTAGTACTGGGAATGAACCTTTAGAATACAGAGTGGAGTCGGTCAGAATCACATAGTGAGCGTTTCGAATTCAGAGTGAAATTTTAGAATTTGGAGTGAGCTTTTAAAATTTGAAGTAAGCTTAGAATTCTGAGTGAGCTCTTCGAATTTGGAGTAAAGTTTGAGAATTGGAGTGGAATTTGTAAAATTGGAAGTAAAGCTCATGCACGAATTCGAATTAATTCAGAGTGAGCTATTAGAATTGGTGGTGAATTTAAAATGTGGGAGTTTTCTTTGGAATTCTGAGTTTGTTTGTTAGCCACCATTACAACACCATGCAATTTTGCTTATAGTGAACTTGCTGGAAACGCTCCGAAACTGTTTTATCGCTCCGACTGTCTTATCTTACCACCATTTTGGACTTCAGAATAGCAATCGCTAAAATAAGCTACTTGTGTCAATCTTCAACGAATCACACGAACTTGAGAGATTGGGTAACCTGTGCAGTCACTACAAACAAAACTTTGGATAGGAGCCACAGCAAATCTTTCTTTCAAGAGAATGAAGGCGAGACGGGGATCAAGGTGCATTAAGGTCTTGGTTTAGAAAGAGAGGTAGAGTCGAGTCGCTACAGATTGAGACCGTGTTGTCAGGGAAACTGAGAATATCAAAATATCAGGCGGAATCTCGCACTGATTCTGTAATGCTGAGATCGCAAATTTTTACGTCCTAGCAATTTCTCAAGTCGTTAAGGCGAAGACTTTTTTCTTTCATTCTGCAAATTTATTTTTTTGCCTCCGCAAGTGCTTCCCTGCACTGGTGCTTGCCTCCGCTAAGCGCTTGCCTGCGCCAGTGCTTTCCTCCGCTAGCGCTTGCCTCCGCTAAGCGCTTGCCTCCGCTAAGCGCTTGCCTCCGCTAAGCGCTTGCCTCCGCTAAGCGCTTGCCTCCGCTAAGCGCTTGCCTCCGCTAAGCGCTTGCCTCCGCTAAGCGCTTGCCTCCGCTAAGCGCTTGCCTCCGCTAAGCGCTTGCCTCCGCTATGCGCTTGCATCCTTAGAAAATTGTCCTTAAAAAATGCATCAATTTAAGCCTGTTCAGCAGGCTACTGTAAACTTGGCTACCATATTTGTGCCTTGTCGCGCGCGAATGAGATCTAACCCGATTCGATTCCTTAATGGAATGAATAACGGACTTAAACTTACCTCGCTCCAAATAGGTGGCTACGTAGCCTAGTTGGTAATAGTGCCCAACCAGTAACTGGGAGGCATGGGTCCGAATCCCATCAAAGCATGATTTTACATGCATCTTTTCTCCATTTTTTTTTTTAATTGTGGATGAAGACATCATCTTACTCAACATGCAGGGGGAAAATCAAAGCGTTTGAAAATAAATTCCATTACTATTTGATGTCTTTAAGAAGCAAATAAAACAAATGAAATATATTTTCTGATTAACACTTAACAGGGTTGTCTGATATGAAACCTAGACGTTACTAAGACAACTAAACTTTATTTTCTTACTCACGCATGCGCGTGAACCATAACCAAACCATAACCACTTGCGTGTCGTTATCTCACCCCACGCTCCTTACCCAGCAAAAAGAAGGGGCGGTCTACGTTTCGTTTCCCACGATCAGCTGTTGGCTTAAGATTCAATCCACGATCGCTTTGATTTGTTTCATTTCCTTCAGGAGGTTTTCCAAACAAAGCAACATAATACTGGCAATTTCGAAACAATCTTAACCCAGATTAGTGGGTCCCGATGTTATCTCAAAATATTTTTAATACACAAAATGACTAATAATTTTAAGTTTGATCTTTAAAATCGTTTGTATTCCAAGCTTCCGTTTATAAACAATGCTGAACTGTTTTTAATCGGCGAAAGGAACGCAAGTTTTTGCTGAATTTGAAAAAACTTAAAGAACGTTTTATCGATATTAGCATCAGCTCAATTTGGAAAGAAAAATTTTCCTCGATTTCTGGAAAAAATTGATCCCACGAAGTTTTTAAGGACTAATCGAGAATATCAACTGACAGAATAAATTGTTATCAAAGTCTCACGTTTTCTTTTTTCACTGATTGCAATTAACTTTAATTACGAAATGCCGAAAAAGAAGAACTTTTAATTAAACCGAGCAGATCTCTGATCTGAAGTAATCAGCCAATGGTAGAATTATCCGAAGAATATTTGATAGTTATCAGACTTCGCACAGTAATCTTAATTCTCTGCGCCGAACTAATAGAAAGTAACTCTTCCATGAACAATTCAGCAAATTCTCATTTGAAAACCACGCGTGTTGTAATTGCACGACAATTAGTTGAAAGTTGAAAAAAGCGCACGCGAGCTGTAAAAATCGGCCATTCGATTAAGACGCATCTTCTTATCATAACTTAGTAAGCTCAATTTTCGGGTCAAAGACACTTACGGTCTTACTTTATTATCCGTAGATTAAGGAGCTGCTAATCTGGCTTATATCTCTCGCATTTGTAAACTAATCTTTGACAAGTTTTCGAGTTGTTTTGTGTATGGTAATTATTCTCCGGTTGAGGACATAATTTGATAACAAAAGGTCCAATTATTTTGGCGCGCACATCGCTGTAGACCGCAAGGTTGGTTTTTGAAAGGTGCACAAATCTGCATTGTTTCTAACCGCATGTCCGCGTGTTTTTAAAAAAAGAATTCTTGATAGAGTACTAGGTCACTGATAAAGCTTCTGTTAGAGTTTTACGAGCAAAAACGCGAACACTAAGAAGTAAGGAGTCTCTCAAAGTAATAGATCACAGGTGTATCCCAGCGGGGAGTCTCTTTTTGTTGTATTTTCTAAGTTGGACTTCGTCTGAATCTCTTATGCGGGAAAGTGGCAATATACATCTTATGATATTTGATCTTGCTACTTTTAAAACCTGGTAAGTTTTGCTACTACAATTTGTTTTTTCATCGCGATGTGTTTAAAAATGTTTAATTTTTTGTACGATACGTGTCAAAGAAATCACTTTCTGCCATTTGTACTGTGGAAGATTTTGGCTTTATACCTTAGCTGTCTTTCTAAATTATAAATTGATTGCCGATAGCTATGGACAAAAAACGTAAGTGGCATTTCATTTGAAGACTTCATTTCAAAGGGAAAAAGTAATCCGATGTGTCGAAAACGCGTCAACTTTAGAGCTCTTTTTCTTTCTCTCATTTCGTACAATTTGCATATGAAAGGAATTGTCAAGTGAGCCTGAAGCATTTCGCAAATTTCGGCTTTGCGGAAAAGAAGAAGGCTGATTTATTTTAACACGGTGTAGAATAAAACATGCCGGAAAAGGAGAAATGTTGCTAAAATCAATTTACTTAGCTCCTCGAGGGACAATTTCCACCTGTTTATTTTATTTTATTTTCTCGTTGAGAGAAGCAATATACCGAGACCAATTTCAAACAAAACGACTCGCCTTGAACATTTTTGCATCATTTTTTCTTGCTTGCAAATATGTTATGGATTTAATGCTTTTAAATTGCAATTTTCTTGTTTCAAGGTTTCCAAGTTAGAATAAGATATTACATTCTGGCAAACGTGTGCTTTATTTTACTACAAAGGCAGGATATACAAGGTATGGGCAACCAATATTTTTTGGTCTAACATTTAACTGCTCAGATTTCTTTCTTTTTTTCAAGAGCTGTTTTTATTTGTGGCGATGGGAGATTCATATCGACTCGCATCCCAGTTTAGACATTTTAAACCGATTTTTGATTTCTTCATTATTTATCTCGAATCTACGATATGTTGAGTACTTGAT